ATTTAAATCATTTCTTTTCTATGTATATATATATATATTTGAAATTTTTATAATCTTCGCTTAATCCACATTCATCCGGGTTGTCTCCGAAAAAACACACGTAAACGCGTGTTATCCCCTAATTAAGGATTCACCCAAATTTTCTCCGAATACATAATTTTGGGAATCTCGTTTCCGTAGCGCCGGTGTTTCGCGCTGCAATTCGTTGAAGCCGCGTGTCGCATTCCAGAAATTAGATTCCAAAGTAATGGTTGCCTGATCTTGTTTGTTGCAGAGGTTGCAGTGGTCCAGCAGTGGGGCGCATCGTGAACTTTGTTACTTGAAGGGACGCAGCGAGGACGAGTGTCAGAATTACGTGCGCGTATTCGGTAGACAAGGGCCTGATCGATTTCTCGTTTGTGGAACGAACGCGTACAAGCCGCTGTGCAGGCAGTTCACCATCAAGGTAAGCGCTTTAACTTCTTTTTAAACGGGCCCGGCTGACTGCGCGAAGGCCGTTCGATAAGTAGCCTTTTGTTTCGCGCCGAGCGGTTACGCTCACTTTAATATTTGGCCATTACGGTGCTTCTGGCCCCTGAAATGGTCCCTAAATTCTGAGAGCTACATATATACATGTATATATATTAGGTTGGTGCATGATGTTGCAACTAGTGGATCCAAAACCGACACTTCTACCGAGATTGTAAAATACTGACATTATATTGATAATATACCGGTATTTTTTAATTGTATTAGGGATACCGATAAGTAATGTTGTTTCGATACTGAAAGTTAGCTTTCCTGATGTTAGTCATGGTTTTTTTCCAATTTTCATTGTCAGTAATAATTTGTTGAAAAAGTGAATTTCAGCCAATACCGGATCTTCGTCTAATTCAATGGCACTTCGAGATTTTAAATCAGCGTATAAATTGAAATCTCCGGTTTTGAATCTTTTCAAATCCGTTCTGACACATTTTGATATCCAAAGCATCAAGCCATATCTATACATATGTAACATTGTTTCACCTAAATTTTTCTAATAAATTATATGTTGTATAAAATAATGCTTCGAACAAACGTTGTTATCGACACAGATTGATATGGTTGTGTACACTTTCTTTTATTCGGTACTTTAAGATTCTGTTCGACTGAAATCCACACTGGAGAATACACATAGCATGGCACTAGATGCTCTAAAAATTTGAAGTTGATAGTTGCAGTGAATTCTAACAAAAAGAAACCCGAATCGGATGAATTATTATGTATTAAATGAATTTGATACGTCTGTATAGGTTACAATTTCTCGTGTAACGGATATCTGTTTTCTGTCATCAACGTAGAATTTGTTCACGGCGAACTCTCATCAACTGCACGGCGGATAATTAATATTCTCTGTAACACACGTGTATCGATTTTATACTGTATTCTCGGACTAATTATCAGGGTAGCTGAGATGGTAGGAGGAAATGGATAGGTTTAGTATATCGATTGTTTCACATATAATGACCTTGATGACATTTTATAAATTGTATATTCGCATAGAGATCTAATCGATTGTGTAGCGATCAATAAATTGTCAAGATATATTAAACGTATTTAATACAATTAATTTGTATTCCTTTTATACATACGTGCTACTTATTTTGAACGTATTGTAAATTACTATTTGATCACGAATTACTGCGTTTAGTAATAATTGATTAAAGTCGTTAAATTTTCAAAATGAAGATGGTTGTTTTCCGGTTAAATCCTCATTTTATTATGTTACTCGAATGAAATTGCGTTCGTTATTCGGGTCGATCCTGTGACATGTCATTTGCACGAAAATAGCTTGACAAGTGATCGAAAAATTCTGTTATTTGAAAATATGAAACGGGAACAGAACTGATAGAAATTAAAAAATTTGAATATGTCGTCGAATTCGTTCGGAAATTTTGGATAACAGGATTAAGGCTTACAGTAACAGGATAATACATAATATAGAATAAAATAATATATAATATCGAATAAGAAGATTTAATCATCGATTTGAAAGTTAGAATATATACCAAAATTATAAATTATAAACTAAAGAACAAGTGAAACAGTAGCACGATACCGATTAGACTGCGGATGTTTATACATAATGAAAATATTGTGCATCAATTGCAAGCTACAGAAAATAATCAGAAAATGATTTCTTGCATAAATCATTTGGATATGTTGAAAATGATATATCGATGTTATTAGAATCTTTGAATCCTTCTATTGTTTGAAATTGCAACTACTCATTTTTCTCATACATACAATTTTACGTAAATTTGTCAAAAGATCCATCAAATTATTTCGATTAATACAGCGTAACGGTTTCCTCAGAAATTACTATTTAAAACAGAATGATCGAAATGTCAATATCGGAATTTTATCGTAACAATGTCCGTAACGTGTACCGATAGTGTTCGCGGAGCCTCAAATGTTAATCGAGTTTACGTTGGCAAGTTGCAGTCACCAAAATACGGTAACGTACTCGGAGTCCGAAAATCTTTTGTCGTCGCATGAGTACTTAATGAGCACACGCTCAACAAAGCGGCTGGGAATTTGACTTTGGGCTACTGTTTCGTTCATTTATTTAACAACCACGCGCTCTGCACAGCAGCGTGTGCAGTGTGCACATGCACGCCAGAGGAAAGGATGCCGTTTTAGGAGCAATAATCGTTACAAAGGACGAACAAACCAAACTCAATGTACAACATTAGGAAACGTAGACTTCGTGGCTGATTTATCGCTCGCCTAAATATTGGCCTAACAAACAGAACCTGTGTGTAATACGATTAAACGGCAAAGGTAATAAGCAACTACGTATACGAGAACTGTAATCAGATTTTCGTCAGTTGCGTCTAATGCCGCTGCCAGTTGTTTTCTCGTTACTGGTAACGGAGATTTCATTGGCTGAAAAACGATCTCACGTGTACTGACATAATGAGCCGTTGCTTTGTATCGTTTCGAGCGTGATTTTGCGCGAATAAGACGTACAATTATTTCTCTCAAAAAAGATCCATTGGTCTGTTATAATTAGCATTGTTCTATTAATCATTGAATTAACACTTTGTTAAGATAAATTTAAACAATCTTTTTCTACGCGATAATCACTAACGAAATTATTAGATAATTTCATTGGGAATTACTTGTTGGTATACTATTGAAACAATTTATTCAGTAGTTTCTAACTGTAAATTATAGACTTTCGAAAATTATAAAATTACCGCCGCTAGATAATATGTTAAGATAATCAGAAAACTGCATAGGCATTTTTCTATCAATGTATTATCTAGAAGAGAGGATAACTATTTTTATTAGTTTCTTGTTTGTACATTTGTAGTTATATATAGTAACCAAATGTAAATCTATATAATATTTTTAATTTAAACTTCTACTATTTATGTATTTTTAAAAATGAAACGAAAACAAATTTATAAGATATGTATTTAATATTTAAGAAGCTAAAAATGAAATTGCAACAATGAAATACAAGATAACTTTTTGATAATATTTTTCTTTCTCTTTGCGTAAGCTATTTATATTTTCTATTTACTTTTTGGTGATATTTGGCTGCTTTTCGGAAATTTTGCTGCATTAATGCCAAAATTGGTTTGTCACCTTGAATTTTAAATAACGACCAAAAATATAATATCCATTTGTATGATAATAATCTGTGATAATTGTATTATCTACAAATCATTCAAGTATTATATGTATAATATAAACGTACTAGAATCCGTTTTCTAATTGAAAAACGCTAAACAAGAATTCGAAGTCTACTTAAACCAGTCACTAGAGTGATTCGATTTAAAATTCGTGAATTTATTTAAATGTCTATTAATATAATGTTTCTTTTTGTGTTTTACATTGTTATATATATATCCTACTGCGATCGCAAAAATTTATTTAGTATACAGTTTACCGATGGGTGTTTTCAAAGTTACTGTTTCCGAGAAAAAATCCCGTGAGTAATAGAAGCTATTTTCGTGAATTCTTTTACGAGCGTTCGATGGTGTAAAGTTTCTTCGAGTTTTCAGTTTATTGCAGAACACTGCGAGAATCATGTAATAACTCCTAAACACTTTCAGTACTTACGTCTACGTGTAAAAGTTTACTCGCATGAGGCAAATATCCATTCTTGTTTATTGTAACTTCAGTTATCTTGCCTTCAAAAGATACAGAGTTTCAAAATGTAAAGAAGATAATTCGGAATTTCGATCAAATTAAGAAACGAATATATTTATATACAACAAGTTTTATGTATTATAACATTTTTATTTTTCATATGTTTACTGTTTATATATCAACACTTCAATCTCTTTAATAACTCATATATCATCTAAATGTAATGCGTTTATCAAAAAAGCACAATTTCATTATAATTTGACTTGTATTTTTAGTTTACAATTTTATGCAATGTTTACTTGTACGTTACATATTTAAGATTACATTTATTTACCTCTCATTACATAATATAGGAGATAATTTACCTTATTTTCATTTACAATACATCCAGTCATAATATGGTTAATATAATAAATAGTGTTATTTCTTCAAACAGTTTTATCTTGACAAGATATTCCACAATTCCTTCTAAATATTCATTGCTATTTGAATACTTCTCCTTCTTATATGTATATATTCCAGAAATCGTTCGGTTTCAATCATAATTCTTATCACTTTTTTCCTTCTATATAAAGCAAACGGAAGATTTTATGGGGAATACCATCTCTCGTATCACGTAGTCTCTTCTGCTTTAAGCCCTTTCACTCTGCCACTTCTGGTTCCATTTTTCTTGAATTTTTCTTCATACATTCTTATGTGCATTTTCAGTAAAAGCCTTGAGACGATTTATTTTGACGATTCGAAGCGTTTCTTTTTTTCAAATTTTCTTTGGATGTATGATTTTATCCATATACGACAAAAGTTAGCTAATGGAATTCAAAACAGTAAATTGAGAGAAGAAATTTAATTATGTTAAAATATTTTCACCTTATTAAAAATATTAAGAATGGAAATAAATTGCTATTTAACTTCTCTTTGTTGCAGGCGAGGTAGAGAATTTTTATTTTGCACAAAGATTCGTAGTCTAATGATAAATAGACTGCAGATTTTATCTGTTTATGAGAAAAATGAGCGGATGCAATTTAAAATAGTAGAAAAATTAAAATAATTCAGGGATATCAAATATATTGTTTTAAATTCGATGAAATTTTTTACAGAAAAAAATCGAAATGTTTTGAATCAATCTGCGATTGATATTTATATTTTGCGTAAGAATTTTCAGTCTAATTACCTATTGCATTTTGTATTTCTAGCTTCGATTCGTTGGGCAAGATATAATATTCCTACAGTTATTTCGTTCAGTTTCGACTCATTTCTGAATAATATCAGTGCTTTGGTCGAGCAGCAGTAATTATCCTCTGCGACGTATTAATTCCTCCGGCT